TTTGTAGTTTCAACAGAAACTATGTCCGCCATGACCCAAAAATACCCATCATGTAATAGAGATTAGTCAGCACACAATAAAAGCAATTAGATCAATTAAAAATAATCTGAAAAATATTTAGTGGTTAACCTCAGTTTTAGCAAGTAGGTTCGTGATACTTGAAATTTTCAAATTTGCACTTGTATCTTCTGTCACTTCACTACTCTGGGTGAGTGTGAAAGCTAAGTACTTGAAGATCTACTATCCTCATCCCCATTCTTAAAAGCCTTAAAAAATTCTTTTGCCTCTTCACAATCATTGTATAGGATAAGTTTTGTCACATGGAATGACGTTGAGATAAACACTTCTTCTGCAAGTGAAAAATTATTTTTAAAATTTGTAATGAAATAAAAAAATATGGTTATATTCACCAAATGGGTGCAGCGTAGGTCTGTACTCATGAATTCCTTCGAACGGGCAAACTGCACTATGAGAGTTTGATTTGTTATCCCTCCACCAACTGATTCATTGAACTTCTCAATGTAATCTCCCCAAAGGGTGCAACGTAGGCGTTGTCCCCTATGAAACCAAACATAGGTAGCATTACATTAGAAATAAAATCCAGATAAATGTACATTTTATTAGGACACAACATAACCTCGCGTCTTCCAAAGTCAGCTCCATACATCTCTGTGGACTCCCTAGAACCATTCGGCTTTGAATTCCAGTCCTTGCAATTACTTTTCCTATGACATCTGAAAAATGATAGTAACTTAGTCACCCTTTATTAAAAAATGTAATAACAAATAAATCGAAATGTGCATCCTTACCAGTCAGCATATTCTGGCTCAAAGGTTCCAATAACTTCTCAATAGGACAGAAGTTATACATGAAAGTTGGAAATTGATATGAATTGATGTCTTTCCATAGTGTGTCTCTATAGAAAGTAAGAATAAAAGGGTGGTCTGTTGTCTTAAAACTATGATAGTTATGTGCAATTAAGAAATTGTGCAAGGCACAAACGACCCCTTCCTTGATTTTTGGTCTGAAGTATTTCATTTCAGGCCTCTTAATCTAGGCGTGAATCCTATTTCCCTTTTGCAAAGAAAATGAAACTTTGCCTAACTATAGATTGTAGCATGATTTGAAGTGTTTACCTTTGAGTCATGAAAAATTACTTCCATTGTATTCGGCCTTCCATCACGGATGGGCAAATCATAAACCCAGACAGCTCGAACACAAATTGCCCACTCATTTTTACGGTTGTCCAAATCTTTTAAATCGCACCATAGACCACCTCATCCACTCGATTCGTCTCACATTGTGTGTGATTTTTGAAGTGTTGCGAGAAGTGAATATGTGAAATTGTGAGGAAGAAAAACATTGTGACTCTTGCATTTTATAGAAGGAAGTGGCGGGCACGGATAGTGGGGAACTTGCACACCACAAAAGAGGGGAAGTGGTATGGAAGTGGGATGGATTTGTTTTTAAAATTTAAGAATAGAAATTACAATGTAAATGCAGTAGCCGTGTGGCAGTGGTGGTGTTTTTCCATTTTTTTCATTTTTTCTGTATAACTGCATCTTGATTATAATTTTATAATATTTGCAGTAGGAGGAAAAGTAATGATAATAATAATAATAAAATCAAGAAATTAATAATTTTAAATTAGCAATTCCGGATTTTTTTAAAACATGCATTTGATTTAATTATTTTATTTTAAATTCATTAATTTTATTAATAATTATACATGGAAGAATATAAAAAACGGATTGCAAGCTTGGAGTGAGTATTGGAGTATTTTAATTGGTTTAGTATATCTTACAATTTTTTACCAAATAATTAAACATGCCCAGAAACTTAGGAATTGCAAAAAAATGGCCCAAAAAATGGCCCAAAGCTACAGTATCCGGCCCATATTTTTAGGCGAGACTTTCTTCCTACTGCTCTTGTAAATAGAAGGATTTTTGTTATCGTTTGACTTTTCAAAGACTCTAATGCAAAATTTTAAGATTAATATTTGTTTTTAATTTGGATCACATGTTTTTTATGCAGTTTGACTGAAGTTAATTTCAATTTGATTTATTTCAAAGATATTTTTGCAACAATACTACTTGTGGTTTTCGAAATGTGTACCTTTTGTTTCAAAACTTACGTCGTTGTCCTTCATGGTTCTAGTATTCCTATGTCAATGCCCTCTAGACTAAAATATCATTCAAATCATAAATTAATAGTTCTGTTGTCCCCTAAGATTTTTGAAATGGACTACAATGCCCCTTCTCTTTTTGTCTTGATTGTTTTTCTTTTTTTCTTCACTTTTTTGATAAATGTTTTTTTAAGTTATTTTTAAAAACTATTTTTATACTCAGTAATGTTTTAATAATCATAACTTTTTGTATTTGAACTAAAAAATCAATTAAATAAAATAATTGGCGTATACATCATTTGTCTCAAACTAATTATTTTCATGTTATTAAAAAGAGGTCCTTAATCCATTATTAATTGTTTCATTTTCATGATACAAAATCAATGAAACATTTTCTCTTTTTATGCACAGAAGCTCATTTCACATTATTCATTTTTTGGTTTCTTTTTTTCCCTCGATTTTTTTTCAAAATTAATTTGATAACATTTACTTTATTTAATTTTATTCAAAATTATAATAAAATAAAATAGGGAATAAAAGAAAAAGAAAAAAAAGTTTATGAAAAAAATACTTTTATAGAATAGTGAAAATTAAGTCATGAAGAAAATTTGTTGTACATCTTTCCGAAATATTGTTATGAATATATAATTAACTAAATATTAAGAAGACCTTACTTTGTACTCCCTCCGTCTTAAAACTTTCTTCCCAGAGCACTATTCCAACTTCACGGGAATTTATATTTATTTGTGTTTTTTCATGGCCTATATGATAAAATAAAATAATCTTGTCACCACTTGTTTTTTTGAACTTTTGATATAGTTTTTAAATATGTATATGTTTTATTTTTTATTTCTATACCAATATTAAAATAAAATAGATTGAAAAAACTTGGGATTTTTCTTCGTTTTGCGCAACGGGAAGAAAGTTTTAGGACGGAGGGAGTATTATTTTGGTCCCAACAGATTCAAAAAAATAGGAAGTTTTTTTTATTAAAAACTTAAAATATTTAACTTGAGACAAATGAAGTATATTTTAAATTTTTATATCATTTTTTATTTCAAACAAAATAATTTTCATTTTCTAAAACACTTTTTAAAAAAATAGTTTTGAAAGTCAACTTTTTATTATTTTAAACACAAACATTTTTCATTTTCTTATGAAAAAAAAATAAAGAAAAACAATCATCAGCTGGCGTTGGTGCCCATTTCCAAAACCATAGGGGTAGCAGAGCTATTCATTTAATATTTGAACGATATTTTAACTCAGAGGGTATCTGCATAGGAATATTAGAACTACAAAAGGCAACAACATAAGTTTTGAAATCGTGAGGGGTAGTGGTACAGATTTACCAAACTACGGGGTATTAGTGCAATAAACTCTTACTTAAAAATTGGTATGGATTTAAAAATTTAAAGTCATAAATATAAAAACTACATCAAATTTACTATCAATACAAAACAAGATGTGATAAGACTATACTACCTCCGTCCTAGTGTATTCGTCCAGTTTGAGTTTTTCGAGTCAAACTCAACTTTGGATCTCAATTAAATAAAAATGTAATATATTTTATTATAAAAATCATTTCAAGAGATTTATCTTGTTGAGAACTATTAAATATTAAAATTATTGTATCAATATGCAACACAAATTAAGAGTAATTGATGATTAAAGTTCACCCAGTTTGACATGAAAAGGTCAAACTAGACGAATAAACTGGGACAAAAGATATATTATTTTCTCAAATGGGTAGCAAGAATGGATATTAAAAATGATTAAAGTTTTACCTTGCAAATAGTAACCAAACAACTTAACTTGACACGGAAAGAATATAAACATAGATAGTATAAATATAATATTTCAAAACAACGTTTCAAAATAAATATATTGATATTAAAATTATGTGAAATTTACACTAAATAGTACTAAAATATGTGCCTTTTCCTAATGTAGTACCTAAAACTTTTTATTTTTAAATAATACTTGAATAATGTCTAGTAGCGGTGGATAATTATTTGAACAATGTCTAGTAGTGGTGGACATTTAATTGAACAATTTCTGGTGGTCACTGAACACTGGTTCTTTATTAAAAGAAATATTTACACTAAATAGCACTAAAACTTAAGTCATTTCCCTAAATAGCACTTGAATTGTTTTATTCCCTAAATAGCACTTAATAATATCCATAATGTCCAGTGATGACGAGCATTTACTTGAATAATGACTAATGACTAAAAGTGCTACATTGGGAAAAAAAACATGTGATACTATTTAGGGAAAGTCATTATATTTTAGTGTTATTTACGTAAATTTCTCTTATTAAAAAATTAAAATATAAAGTACTACATTGAGAAACTCACTATGTTTTAATACTTCTTCCGTCCTAAAATGATGGCCACATTTGCTTTTTCAACGGTGAGAAGAACTTTTGTTTATTTGAATGTTTTCATTGGTTATTTGATAAAGTAAAAGATTCTTGACACCTCTTATATCAAATAACTTTTCAAGTAGTTTTTAGACTATATAAATTTTATTTTTATTTCTATACCAATATTTAAATGAAATAAATTGAAAAAATTTAATATTTTGCCTCGTTTTTGGAAATGTGGTAAACATTTAAGTAGGGAGGAGTACTATATAGGTAAACTTCCCTAAATTTATATCGTATTCCATGTATTTGTTTCTTAATTTGTGGTCAAAACTTAAAAACATTTATGTTTTTGTTGTATCAAAAAAAAAAATAAAGGATTCAAAAGCTTGCGCATACTTGTTTTTCCATCATCTCCGATGGAGCCAAAATTTCACCATTTTTTGGCTTTGGGGTGTGATGGAATAAATCAAAATGGATCTCTAAATTGTCTGCGCTTCTTTAATTAATGAAGTAGCAGTTAGTCAAGCAATGCAACTTTCGACGTTGAGCCGGGGGTCTCTTTGGAAACAGCCTCTCTACTTTCGAGTAGGGGTAAGGTCTGCGTACACACACCCTCCCCAGACCCTACTCTTGTGGGATTTAACTGGGTTGTTGTTGTTGAAACAATTTATAGTATTCATCATTTACCTTGCGTATGCATTTTTCCGGGTGAAGACTTAGTCATATGTTAACGTTTCATATTGAATTTCCTCAAGATGGTCGAAGCCCTTAGGCTATGAAAAACCACACATTTTCCTGCAATCCCGCAATGCAAATTTACACAATTACTATCCGTCTTCCTTTAGACATTATTGACCTAGAAAGGAATAGAAGAAAGAATACGTTGATCATTATCTATTGCTCAAATAATTATTAAATAGTTTAAATAATAACTTAAATGTGCACCTAGCTAGTTTTGATGCGTGATTTCTTTTGTTAATATAAATATGCTTTCTAACCACCATCTCGCATGCATAAGATAGGGAGGAGCAAATTATTAAGATGATGACGAATTCATCAAGAACCAAAATGGCATTGGATGGCAACAGCAGCAGCAATTACAGGAGAAACACGATCGGGAGCATACTCCAATCCGATCCGAACAACGACGACGACGTTTCCTTCCGATTTAGCACCGCGTCAGACTCTCTTGCTTGCGCTCACGACAGGCCGTCGGGTACCCTCAACAACCAGGTGGCCTCCCATTCCTCGTCATGGGAGGCCACGTGGGAGGATTCTGCGTCCTTCACGACATGCGGGGTTTCATTTGGGCACTTGTCACCCTGGCATGCCCAATGCTCCCCCGCCTCCGTGGCCGCAGCATCATCTGCTGCGGTAGGCGACTTCTATTCCTACACCGGCCTAATGGGATCCCTTGTCCGCGAAGAGGGTCACATATATTCGCTTGCAGCCTCGGGAGACTTGTTGTACACCGGGTCGGACAGCAAGAACATTCGGGTTTGGAAAAACCAGAACGAGTTCACAGGGTTCAAATCGAACAGTGGATTGGTGAAGGCCATAATAATCGCGGGGGAGAGGATCTTTACGGGCCACCAAGACGGGAAGATCCGTGTGTGGAAAGTGTCGAAACAGAATCCCGTCATTCACAAGCGCATCGGTACTCTACCGACCTTCAAAGCGTGTATCAAGAAGTCGATGAAGCCGAAAAACTACGTGGAGGTCAGGAAGAACCACAACGGCGTTTGGATCAAACATTTCGACGCAATCTCCTCTCTCACATTGAGCGAGGACGCGTCCCTATTGTACTCCTCCTCTTGGGACAAAACCATCAAGGTGTGGAGAATAGAGGACTCCAAATGCCTGGAGTCCATAAATGCCCACGACGACGCTGTTAACTCCGTCGTCGTGGGGTGTAACGGCCTGGTGTTTTCTGGGTCCGCAGACGGAACCGTGAAAGTGTGGCGGAGGGAGTTCAAAGGAAAGCGGACGAAACATCACATGACACAAATGTTGTTGAAACAAGAATGTGCCGTTACGTCGTTAGTCATTGACCCCTCCGCCACACGTCTCTATTCCGGTTCCTCTGACGGTCTCGTTAACTTCTGGGACCGTGACAGGCAAGTCTACAATCACGCCGGGGTGTTGAGGGGACACAAGCTTGCCGTCTTGTGCCTGGCGGCTGCGGGGAATTTAGTGTTTAGCGGGTCGGCGGACACGAATATCTGCGTGTGGAGGAGGGAGGACGGCGGTGACCATGTATGTATGATGGTGTTGAACGGGCACGCCGGGCCGGTGAAGTGCTTGGCGGTGGAAGAAGACGGGAGAGCGGGAGGCGGGGACAGGAGTTTGATATTGTACAGTGGGAGCCTTGATAAGTCGGTGAAGATATGGAGGGTGTCGCCCCAGCAGCAGCAGCAGAAACATCATGCGGCGGGGATGGACGGTGGTGTCGCCTCGCCGCCGGGTGTGGCTTGTTCCAGCGCCGCTCCTAGCTTTTCGTCGCAGAGTAGCAGATTACACCAGCTGAGCAGGCGTGACCGGTAAGAGGAGATAGAAGATGATGACCATTATATTATTGCCTCATTTGGCGTTCATTATGATTTGGATGCTCATCCATGCATCGTACCCCTATTAAATTTTAATTTATGATTCACATATATACTAAAGAAATCACCAAAAATTGGGAGTACTTTACTAAAATATACGTAGTTATTATTCTCGTAAAATAGGAGTAATATGTTTTTAATTTTAAAATAGAATTAATGTCATTTAGTGCTATTTAGTGTAAATATTTCATAGGATTATTCCATTATGACAATATATGTATTGTAGCACGATACATTAGTTTTTTGTAGAATTTATTTGCACTATAGGTTCTATTTTAAGGATAAAAATTAAAAAGTCTAATTTTGATTTTTTTTTTTGTATGCTTTACTCTTATACTCCCTCCGTCCACAAATAAACTTTTCGTTTAATATTTACAAGGTCAACTTTATATACGTACTTTGTTGGTCTAGTTTCGACACTCATTTGATAAAATAATATAGTCATGTCATCTCTAGTCTTGTAGATCTTGTGATATAGTTTTTTAATATATAATTTTTATTTTAAAATTTTACACCATTTTTCATATAAAATGATTTGAAAATAACTTCAGTCAAACATCGTAACGCGCAACGGGAAGTTTATTTGTGGACGGAGGGAGTATATTTATGTCTTTCTCTCTATAAACTATATGTTGATAATTTTAGTGTTACATGTTGTTTTATGTAATTACTTAAGACCAAACACAATTTATTAAAGGGTGTTTCTCCCATGCCCAAGCAAATGAGAGGGCATGGATACCCTTCCATTGAATTAATGACACGTGGACTAATAAAGTAAATGACTCCACATCATTACAATTTTTTAAAATTCTAAAAACGACCATATTCGGCCTGATATATCTTACGGAGTACTTGCATTAGCTCTTCCCTTCGCTTTCATTATATTGTCCCATTTTTCCACTTCCATTGTTATACTTTGGTTATCATACTTATTACTCCCTATTTAGTACTCCATTTTGTGTTTTCAAAAAGAGAAATTATACTCTATTTTTAGAGAGTACTTTCTCTATCTAATTTAAATTATCAATTTTGATTTATGATATTTAAATAAAGTTATTTTCAATACCCGGAATTATAATTTATTAGGAAGTTAGAA